ATAGATATATAGATGGATAGATAGATAGATGGATAGATAGATAGACATATAGACAGATAGATAGACAGACAGATAGATAGATAGATAGATGGATAGATAGATAGATAGACAGACAGATAGATAGATAGATAGATAGATAGACAGATAGACAGATATACAGATAGACAGATAGACAGATAGAATATAGATAGACAGATAGAAGATAGATAGACAGATAGACAGATAGACAGATAGACAGATAGACAGATAGACAGATAGACAAATAGACAGAGAGACAGATAGACAGATAGACAGACAGATAGAGAGACAAATAGAGCGACATATAGAGAGACAGATAGAGAGACAGATAGACAGATAGACAGATAGACAGATAGACAGATAGACAGATATATGGATATATAGTTATAGATGTATAGAAATAGATAGATAGATAGATAGATAGACAGATAGACAGATAGACAGGTAGACAGATAGATGGACAGATAGACAGATAGACAGATAGACAGATAGACAGCTAGACAGGTAGACAGAGAGACAGACAGACAGACAGACAGACAGACAGACAGACAGACAGCCAGCCAGCCAGCCAGCCAGCCAGCCAGACAGACAGACAGACAGACAGATAGATAGATAGAGAGACAGACAGACAGACAGACAGATAGATAGACAGATAGACAGATAGACAGATAGACAGATAGACAGATAGACAGATAGACAGATAGACAGATAGACAGATAGACAGATTGACAGATTGACAGATTGACAGATAGACAGATAGACAGATAGACAGGTAGACAGGTAGATAGGTAGATAGATAGATAGATAGCTAGATAGCTAGATAGCTAGATAGCTAGATAGCTAGATAGATAGGTAGATAGATAGATAGGTAGATAGAAAGATAGATAGATAGACAGACAGATAGATAGATATATATATATATATATACGTAGGTTTCCTTAAATGGTGGATGCCCAAAACCAGAGGTTTCAATACTAAAACGGTCTACTTGTCGATGATTTAGGGGTACCCCTATTTGAGAAAACCCCCATCCGAGTTTGCAGGGCTTGAGCATGGACCGCGGATGATTGGGTATGGTCAAGATTGGGCCAAGTGCGATGGTTTGAGAATAATTACCCAAAAACGCCAAAACACTCAGGGTATTCGAACCCCGGTATAATCTGGTATGATATGGGTTTAATTATGATATAATCATATGGGTATGATCTGGTATAATGATGTATACTGATGTACAATGATGGTATAATGATGTAAAATGAGTTGTGTCACAAAGCCACGGTGCCACGAGACTTTGGATGAATTCGTGATCCCCCTGGTGAGTTTTCAACGGTGTTTCAATGGGATTTCAGGGGGGTTAACCATCAACAAATTGGGTATTTTCTGGGGATATACTGGGACTTTATCCTCTGGGAATTTATAAGTTCCTATGGGCAATCACAATCTTTTCATAGGTTGATCAACCATCAATCTATACAAATGGGTCATTCTCCATGGCTATGTTGAACAACCAGTAGGTATATGATATATATATATATGTTTTTATTGATGGTTTTTAGAAGAAATTGGGCTTGTCTGTTACCTATCGCCCCCAATCTGGGCCATCTGAAATCCGCAGAATTGATGATCAGAAAACTTGGGGAACACGGTAGACCCATACCCAGATGCTCCATGTATAGAATATTTTGCCACATTTACCACCAAAATGACCCAAATGTAGATAAATATTCCATACATGGAGCATCTGGGATATGCAAACTGTACCAGAACTATGTCTGACGGCGTAGATTAGGAATTTCGGACACCTTGGACTTGCCCATTTTGGATTCGCTAGTCCAACCTGGCAAGGTTTTGGCTTAAGGAGTGTTTAATCCCTTGCCTTTAACCTTAGCGGGACCTTTGACCCGCGGGCTGCCATAGCCTTTGCACGCGGTTGCGCGCTGAACTGGTCCAACCCTGGCGTTGCGCTGCGTTGCTTGCGTGTGCTCTGCTGGAGTAGCATACCAGCATCACCTGATCTAGCTGCTTAGTCTTCTTCCTGAACACCCTTGTGTTTGACTTGACAGTCGGGCTGTGCATGCACTTTTACGTGCTGATCTTCCTGGCGGTCCTTTTTGTGGTCAAGGATTACACCAACTTTGCGGAGGAGATCAAGACGCCTTCGGGCTGCGGCCCGTCGTGCCTGGTTCCTACATCGCACTTCAGCGGCTTCTTTGACTTCAAGACAGCTGAGTTGGATACATCGCACATTGCGCCACCATCATTCTGCAGATCCCGCGTTTTTGCAGCGTATCAAAGACGAGATGGCGACTGCATCGAAAGGAGGTGCGGCTTGGCACTGTGCTTGGTGTCGCAAGGACAACAAGGGAAGTCACACCAACTGCGGCTTCTGCGGTACATTTTGGGAAGATTGTGTCGCAACCCGCAATGTGACCAAATCACCAAGGAGACGAAGAGCGTCGTCGATGAGACAATCAGGCGCATGGAACTATGCTTCGGATTGGCAAGAGGAAACTGTTCCTTGGCAAGCATCGACACCCAGGCGTACCCAGCCTTCGCCTCGCCGTGCTGCCAAGTCTCCACGTCAACCCAAGCGCAAAGCTGGCAAACGCCAAGTTCCTGCACAAGAACCAGAATGGCCTTCGCAGATCACTGCCAATCCCTCGTCCGCTCCGTCAGCTTCAGCCAGTACAGTATCGTTAGAGGCTCAACAATTGAGGGAATTGGTGAGCACATTGAAGAAATCAGACTTGGAGCTGACACCGGAGATTCAAGCTGCGATGAGCAAGGTGAAGGTTATCACCCCCAAAGAAGCCTCCAAACTCATGCATGGAGCGGTGTCTCGTCTAGACACAGCACGCGAGAAGCTGCAAAAGGCCAAGACGGCCAGAACAAACATGCATCGAAACTGGGGCAAATTTTTGGACGATTCCGTGAAAAGATGGCAGCAGCATGGAGAGAAATTCACCAAGGAAGACGAAGAGTTAGCCAATGCCATAGACGCTGCTACATCCGTCTTTCAAGCTGCTCGCACTCATTTGGAGGAGACCAAAGAGGCCCTCGCGGAGTTCGACAACATCGTCGAGAAAGAGATCCCCGAGGTCAGCGACGAAGATTTGATGGCCGATACAACCGGGAGCATTGGAGATGGCATTCAAGAAATGCTCACCAACCTCACACGTTTGAGGGATGCTCAGGACGATATCGAGGCCAATGCGGCAAAGAAAGCTCGCACAGAAGAACCACCAGTCACTCCTGCTGCCGAGGGTGGATCAGCCTTGCCCAAGGCTATGCAGCCTTTTGGTGGGGGGGGCAAATAGACCAGTCGGAGATTTGCCAGGCCCCTTATGCTCAGGATGTGGCAGGTGTCCCATCTATTGTTGCCTATTGGAGCCACTCCATCTTGGAGGATGAGTCCTTTATTGGGCCTTGGGAAGCCCTTGAAAATGCAGCACATTGGCACTTTGAATTGTGTGATCTCACACGCCCAATTTCTCAATTCACATGGTTTCCTTCAGCGGCACCGTCAAAGACTTGTTTGAAGAGTTCTTCTACAAGATCTCATGTGACTTTTGCTCCCGCTTTAGGATATCCCTGTGATGTTCAACAGCAAGGCACATGCTCATTGCCGATGACAGATGATTGGATGCCCAAGTTTGATGTGGTTGCCAAACATGATCCATCCTTATTCATCCTGTCGAAGGGACCTTGTTCTGATGTTCCTTCCAATCCACATTTTGATCGTTTCACGCGTGACTTGCGTGACGAAGTGAATGAAGTTGAGGTTGCATCTTCTGTGCACAATTTTGCGTCTTCATCATTGAGGTTCCCAGCCCTTGTTCGTGATGTAGTACCTGTTCCAAGTGATCCAGTGCCGCCATCCTATGAGGAGCCACTGCCTTTGACGGTGTTGAGCCCACAGGATGGCCTGCCAGTGATCCCATCGAGTTCAAGTGCACTGAATACATCGATGACAACTTCCAATTGCGACGCTGGAGTTTTGCTGTTGAATGATATTCACCATGCTTCTGGCGCACCGCATGACGGATCTCCCGCAGGTGAAACACCTCTGCCTTTGAGCTCTTCAACATCCCCTACAGATGTTCGGCCAGATGCGGATGCCCTGTCGTCCGCCTCATGGATGTTGACATTGCGTTCACTCTGGCGTGAATTTGCTGTTCGTGAGTATGTTGACGATAGTCGTGTGATTTACGTTGAAACCTGGTATATTCACCACATCCACGACTCTCGTTGTGAACGCTCTCGAACTGTGCGCTTCGACCACTTGGATCATCACTGGTACGATGACATTCGTCAACAATGGCCGGACAAAATTCGCACAGATGAATTGCTCCATTTGGTTTCTGTTGCACCTACACCTCCACGAGCTGACACGCAGCGATGTGTGGCGCATATCTTGTTGCTACAAGGCGCACGTGATCACCATGTAGGAGCTGTCTTCACTGCACGTTTCCTTGAAGACCACACCACGCATTTGATTCAAGCTGCACTTTCAGTTCCTGACGAGATGTCTGGCACACGTGCAATCGCCCATCTCCGAGTTGAACCGTTCGTGGAACATCGTCGTTGGATTGCCAGATCTGGTGCTATGCTATTTGACATCCTCACGCCTGAGGCCATTCCCAACGGCATCAGTATCATTGTGGACGTCAAAGTTGAGTCTCCTCCTGCACCAGATGACGTCACCTCACTGGCTGCCTTCTCTCATGAGACAGTAGTTCCTCAACCAGGCGTTGCTGATATGCCCGAGGCTGTGCAGCAGGAAGATGACCTTGTTGAAGTCGAAGTTGAGATTTCAGATTCTGACACCATGAGTGACAGTCCGGACACTGGTGAAGACTGGCGTTTCGTGCATGTATGTCTTCTTGGTAAAAAGATCCACCACGGCCGTCTGCCTTGGTATCAGCCTGATGCTTTCTTTGACGCGGCTTCTGAACTGACCGGCATCCCAGCAGATGATCTGGTGCATCTTCACTACGTTCGACATGGTCCTGATGACCTTCGTGCTGCTCATGTTGAACCACTTATTGCTCAGGTGTACGACCTTCCTCTGGGGTCTTTGAAGCGTTTGGTTCTCCTTGATGTCGAATTTCATGAACAGTTCCCAGCTCGTGAGGCATCCACATCACGCAGATGTATTGCTTTGCCGCGAGTGTCGACTCGTGCTGCGCTGCTGAGAGCAGCCGGGCTTGACATTTATTGCCAACGTTCTCGTGATCGATGCCTCATGTGGCACAATGGCAGTGTGCTACAACAACAAAGTGTGGCGCCTTTTGACATCAATCATGGCGATTACATCAGGATTGCTGTGCCACCTTGGCCTTTTGCACCAGCACATATTTCTACACGTGCTTGCGTCAGTCGAATCCGTCAAAGACCACGCCGGATGGACTATGCCTCTTTACGTCCTCATGACATAAGAGACCATGAAGATGGCATGACTGACATTGATGCGATGCTTGAACGAGATCATCCACACGCTGTTCAAGATGCTCCGGACGATGAGGTCGCCCTTTATCAGCTGGATGTGACCGTTCAATCGGTGCACAGTGCTCAGCATCCTGTGATTTCTGAAGTACCCTCCGACAAAATTGATTTTGATTTTCAAGAATGTCGTTCGAGATTGCAGGCAATCGGGCATCGCAATGAAGCCCTTCCTGTTCCTATGCATGGACAACCTGCTATTGTTCATGATTTGTATCTTCATCTTCTTCGACATCAACGTGATGCGCAGACAGGTCAACCTCCTGCGCTGGTGGCGATGACATGGTATTCTGATCACCTTCGACGACCTCACAGTGGTATTGGCCGTGAAGTTCACCTTCGTGCTGACTTTACGACATGGTATCATGATCTTGTCATGGCGTGGCAGGAATGGGTGGATCCCTTCGCTGACATTCTTTGGCGGATTGTGCAACCGCACCCTGAGGACGGAGATCCTGACGTTTCCGTACACGTCTTACTGGTGCAACATCCACAGCATGATTGTCGGTCTATCATTACGGCCATCACAGACTCTGCTGATGATCCATGGCATCCACGCCTTTTATGTCTTCGTGTTCCCGCGTTGTTGACGCATTCAGATTTGCAACAGCTTGTGGATCTTGATGGTGACTGCACAAGCATTCCACAACAGCATTGGTGTCGCACGTGGTATGGTGAGCACGATATGACATCGAACCCAGGTTTCCCAGTTGATCACGGTGCATCTCTGGTGTTTTCAATACAGCGCAATGTTCCTTGGATGATGCCTGCTGCGTCTGGTGCTGCGCTACCTGACCTGGCTGACAATGAAGCTCCAGATGATCTTTCTCTACTGCAACAACGAGGTCAACGGCAGCACTTGGTCTTGGAGAACCTTGTTGAACCGCCTCGTTTTACGGAAGTTGACTGCCAGCGACCCTTGTTCCTGCGCAATCAACTATGTTTGCAGCCGCGTTTGCAACCATGTGAGACCAAGGCAGGCATCTGGTGGCATACGGCAACTTGGAGTGAACTGCAAGATCTTCCTCATTGGGCTGGTGAACCCATTCTTGGCATGACTTTGTACACAGATGGCACGGCTCAACGCCATCCTGATTCAGCGGCGGCCGCGGTTGTCCTCCTACTTCATGTGGAGGGTGGACTCCGTTGGGGCGGCTACCTTTCTGCGCCGTGCCTTGGTGATTCTACCGCTCCTCGAGCAGAAGCTACAGCACTATTGCTGGCCACCCTATGGATCCGTCAGCTTCTTGCGTGGCGTTCAGTTGCTCCCATTTGGTTTGAGATAGCCTATGATTGTGATCACACCGCACGCATTGCGCAAGGTCACCAAGCTCCTGAACACAACCTGGCCTTGCTTACTGTATTGAGGTCTATTGTCCAATGGATCGAAACTCAGCTTGCGCTGCCACTGACATGGACTCACATACGCAGTCATTGCCAACATCCGTGGAATGAGGCGGCTGACACAGTTTGTCGTTATGCTTTGCAACATCAGGATTTCACGACTGATCTTACAGAGTTGTACAACCAGTGCACCTTCAACGACAGTGATGTCGCCGCAGTACAATGGATATGGCTGATTGAGAAGTCGCTCCGTCAAGATGTCGATGCACCCATGTTGATCGCTCATCGTTGGCGATTTGATGTTGCTGGTCCATTCTCGACACAACCTCGTCCTGATGTCCAACCTGCTGTTCAACGTCGTCGTGTAGATGTTTGTGCTGAATCCGATGCTCGGGTTTTGAATTTGCGAACCGCCACAGCCAACGTGCTCACGCTTTTTCCAGGACGCGTACATTGTGCAGGGTTTCTTGGTGCGCGTGTTGAGGACCTTGATGCGCAGTTCGTCGCAGCTGGAGTACACGTTGTTGGTCTTCAGGAGACTCGTTCTACCTCCACTGGCCACCACACCACAGACTCATTTCATGTTTTGTCTGGACCTGCCACTGGGCAAGGTCGTGGTGGCGTACAGTTGTGGATTCGACGCATCATTCAAACCTCACATGGTCGCATTGATGTTCAAACAGCAGACCTACGGATTCTTCATGCCACATCACGTCGACTTATTGTACGTTGGGCTCACCCAGGTGTCCGTCTTCTTTTTGTCGTGCTTCACGCTCCTGACCACGATGATGAAGATCGACTGCAGGCTTTCTGGGACGCAACAACCACGGCTATCCCACGTGAATACCACAGTTGGCATACGATTGTGCTTATTGATGCAAACAGCCGCGTTGGCAGTGTTACCTCTTCTTCCATTGGTCCGCATCATGCTGACGCTGAAAATGTGAAAGGTACTCACTTTCATAGCTGGCTGGTCAATCATGCGATGTTTTTGCCGCAGACGTTTGAGAGGTGTCACCGTGGGTCAAGTTCGACATGGACTCATCCAGGTGGAGCGCAAGCCCGCCTTGATTACATTGCCATTTCTACCAACATTGGACACCAAGCAGTTTATACCTGGATTGCCACTGACATTGACCTGACAGTCTCCAGGCCTGACCATGCTTGCGTATGTGCTGATATCCAACTTGGATATTATGATGCTGACCGTCGACCACGACATGAACGATTCGTCTCATCGACTGTTGGCGTCCAACCAGTCGTATCTTGGGACGTTGATGTTCACACACATGCTGCCAGGATTCAACAATGGTTGCGCAGTCACTGCAAACCACAGAGAACATGGCGCAAACAGCATTTGTCTGAACACACTCGGACACTTGTTTTAGCCAAACGTCATCATTGGAAGCGCCTTGGTGAGCTTCGACGCCATCATCGCCAAGGAATCTTGCGTCAACTCTTCGTGAGCTGGCGATCTGGACGACGTGTCACTTCAGCGTGGGGACCCTGGATCAGACAATGTGATCGTGACATTGCATGGCATACCTGGGCTTACCATGATCTCTTGCCCAGGGTTGTCACTGCCATCAGACAGGATGACAAAGCCTTTTACGAGCAGTTGGCTGAACGTGCAGGCGATGAGTCTCGGAAGAGCTGTCATGCTCTTTGGGCTGCTATTCAACACGCCTTACCGAGATGGAGATGCAAGCGCCGTTCGAATCTTCGTTGTACCGGTCCCACAATTCCGGCACAATTTGGTCACTACGACAACCTTGAAGCAGGACATGCAGTGCGTTATGAAGATCTTCTGGCGCAATGTCATGCTCATCAACGTGACGCTGCTCTCGACATCCCGCTCCAGATTGCTCTGGCGGACCTTCCTTCAAGGCTTGACATTGAGTTGCACGGCAGTCGCATCAAAACCAACAAGGCCGCTGGTATTGATTCAGTGACTCCAGCCACAGTCAAGGGTGCCTGCCAGAATTGGCCATCCATTGTACATCAATTGATGCTGAAGATCTGGGTATTGGGAGCAGAACCGACTCAGTTTAAAGGCGGAATTTTGCACCCAATTGCAAAAAAAGAGGCTAGTCAGTGCATCGAAGGGATGCGCGGTATCATGCTCATTGACTGTTTGGGCAAACTGGTGCACTCCCATTTGCGTCGACAGTTTGCTCCTCAACTTTGTGCTTTACGTCATCCGCTCCAGCTTGGAGGCTTTGCACGTTGTTCCACTCTGTTTGCGACTCAATATGTTCGCTCGTTTACCATCATGGCACATGAAATGAATCTGTCATCAGCGGTGCTCTTTATCGATATTCGCAGTGCTTTCCACTCGATGATTCGGGCATTCGCTTTTGACATCAACAAAGATCTCCATCCCAAATTGGCGCAAGTGCTTCGGGAATCTGGCTTGGACATTGATGTGATTCAGCAGCAGCTTCGAAGCACTCGTCCCTTTGACTCCATGGTGCCACCTGTTGTTGCTCGTTTACTTCAGGATAGTCATTGCCACACTTGGTTCACCCTCGGACAAAGTGGACATGTTCATCAAACGGAGCGTGGGAGCCGACCAGGCAGTCCATTGGCTGATGTGGCTTTCAATGCCCTTATGACTCATGTCCTTAAGGAACTCCAACATTGTTTTGATCATCACAGCCCACTCCAGAATGCATTTGCCCGTCTTGGCATGCGTGCAGCACCCGTTGCTTGGGTCGACGACCTTGCCATCCCAGTAGTGTCGTTGACTGCTGCTGCGCTCACGGATTTGGCCGTTTGGGCGCTTAATGCCACCAAGCAAATCTGCGCTTCTTTTGGTTTGGAGTTGAATCTCAAGCAGCACAAGACCGAGGTTGTACCTTCCTTTCGAGGTGCAGGTGCTCCCGCGTGTCGCACAGCTCTCTTTCATGAACATTATGGAGTTCTTTGCCTTCAACCTGATGATCCTCTCAGTCCAATTGTGCGTTGTGTCTCTCAATACGAACATTTGGGCACAACGTACCAATCTGACGGTGGTATCGCAGCCGAACTTCGACATCGTGTTGGTCGTGCTCAGCGTGCACATCGTCAAGTACGCAAACCTATCTTGATGAACCGACATTTGGCGATTCGTACCCGGCTGCGGTTACTGGAAGCCCTCATACTGCCCGTACTCCTGCACGGAGCTGGTAACTGGCAGCTATTGACCGCCACGCAGATCAAGAGCTTGCATGTTCCTTACCTACGTTGGATACGTTCCATCGTAGGGAACGGCTTCTGGGCCGATGACCAGTTGCCTGATGAACATATTCTCTTGGCATGGGGCCTACCCTCCATTCCATTGCGTTTGGCGAAACTACGCTTGCTTTACGCGTACCATTGGATTGCAGATGCTCCTCATGACATCATTGCTTGTGTTACAGCGGTAGCCTCTGTTCCTGGTTCCTGGTTTTCGGCTCTGCGGTGTGCCATTGCTTGGGGACAAACCATTGACCCAGCATTTTACGAGGGCAACGTCATGACAGACTCTGCCGAGTGTATTTGTCACTGGCTCGTTCACACCCACCCAAATGGACCGCGTTGGGTCCGGCGTCTTTATCGCCAGGCACTCCAACAAGGGCAAGTTATTGGTACCACCATGACATTGCAATACGAACTGCAAAGAGCTTTCCTTCAGGGCGGTGCGACTTGTAGCAACGAAATTGCTGCTTCACAGCCTTCGATGCAGCCATTTGTTTGTCGTTTTTGTGCGAGATCTTTTGATTCTCCACGCGCTTTACAAGCTCATCTTTGGTGTGCGCATGGCGAAGCCTCTGAAGAACGCCGTTTCATGTCATCCACAACATGCACAGCGTGCTGGAAGTGTTTCTGGACGGTCAATCGACTTCAGATTCATCTTCACCAAAGCCGCCAATATGAGGGCGGATGTTATGAGAGGCTCACGTGGACTCAGGCCCCTTGGGAAGATGTCATTGAGATCGACGAAGGCGACACTGCGTTGCTCCCTGCTCGTATGCCCGCACAGCCTGTGCCGCACACAGCGACCCGGCTTGCCACCTCTTGCACCTCTGCAGAGGAGGCACACCAATGTTGGCAGGATGCATGGGAGCAGGAAGGTATGACCTTCCCGCTGGACAATCATTGGGATGCACTATGTCGTGAACGTTGTGACGAAGCTGTTCGAACGCTTAGTTCCATTGATGACATTGTTTGGCGCTTAGTGAACATTGCTGATGGCGATGGTCTTCCGCCTGCTCCAGATGGCATGGGTTCTTGGGTGCTTAGCTTATGGTTATTGGATGACCTTTGCTATGCTCGATTTCCCTCGATGAGTGTTGAGATGTTTGGCCGACTATTTCGTGAAGTTCGTCGACTCGTTCATCAATCACCTATTGGTAGCCTGGTTTGTTGGCGTCGTCGTATGGAAACGGCCCATCGTCCTCATGCAGAACCTTCAACCTCACAGGTCGCCGGCGCACGTCCTGTTGCAGGCGAAGCCATTCTCAATCCCGTGCAGGATCAGTGTAACCTGCTTCATCCCATCCTTGCCATGCGCTTCACCCTTCCTTCTTGCCAAGGTATTCCCATGCAAGTGGTTGATGGAAAGCGTATCGTCTGGATTCTACACTTATTCAGCGGTCGAAGACGGATTGGAGACTGCCACTGGTGGCTTACACACATTGGGCGGCATTTGTGGCGTGGCGTTGAACTCCGCATGATCTCCTTGGACACGGCAGTCCATGATCGTCTTGGCAATTTGGATGAGAGCGACAATTACAACATGGTTTTGAAGCTTGCACAGAAGGGGCTCATTGCAGGGGTACTTGCTGGACCCCCATGTGAGACGTGGTCGGCGGCGAGGAACATCCTGTTACCAGACCACACCGGCCCCCGTCCTCTGCGTACCTCTGACCAACCGTGGCTGTTATCGCATCGTACAGGGAAGGAAATGCGACAGACCAGTACGGGCACGCGCCTGCTTCTCAACACCTGGCGTATTGAAACCTCAGTGGTTCTTCATGGAGGAGGAGCGCTCAAAGAACACCCTTGGGAAAATGGCAATCTTGACCGCGCGTCAGTGTGGCGCACCACAGCCCACAAGGACTGGATCATGCAGTTGCCGGACGCTTTCCGACACTACATTGAGCAGTACCTCTATGGCGCAGCGGGCACTAAGCCGACTTGCTTGCGTGCCTTGAATCTTGGCGGGGCGGCGATCGTGCAGCAAGCGCTTCACGAAGGCATGGAGTTGTGGCGCGCTCGTCCAGTGACACGCCTGATGGGTAGGAATCACAAAGGTGAGTTCAGGACTGCAGCAGCAAAGGAGTACACAAGTGCCCTCTGCCGCTCCATGCTTGTAGCGTTGCTGACCGGGCTGCGTCGACGTTTTGCCGTTGAAGGCAGTCGAGCTTCCCCGATTTTGACGTCCACTGAACGGCAGTGGCTTGAGAATGCATGGAGTGCTTCTCACGTGGTGTCCATGGATTCATTCCTTCCTGATTACCAAGGCACCTGACCCTTGAATTCATGAACATTGCATGTCCGCACGAGGACACTCATGGCGGCAAAAAAAAAAAGTCCAACCTGGCGATGGACATCAACGATCACCCATTGATAGTTCATGAAAACCATGATCACCTCCGTTAGTGGATTTTCAATTGCTAGCTTTGAATTCCAGAGGCTATTGGTCCTGTTGGTTATTGTTATTGCTCAATATCCCGATGTTGGCTACATCCCCACTGACATTCCCATCCTTACCCCCAGGTCGTGGCATCCATGGTATGCCCCGTCGGAATATCATCACTTGTAGCAGTTGTTTGTTCTACGGAAAATGGGGTTTTAAGCCAGTTCATGGAAATATATATATGCGGCACATGCGTGTTTTTGTTCATCCGTGTTCAAAACCTATATTCATCATCAACAACAACATCATCATCATGATCATCATCATGATGGTGATCATCATCATCATCATCATCAGATGTGTCTTCAACATGTTTATCCCTTTAAATATGATCAGTTCAACGGATGGTACCAGATCATCAGTGTCATCACCTACCCTACTCTCCTAAAATTGGAAATACGTATGCTAAAACATGCTAAAACATGTTAGAACTTCATGTTCCATGATCTCCCCATATTTTCCCCATTTTTTAAAGGTGCCCAAAATGGGGTATCCCTCAACCGAGGTTTGGGCACAACAGTTTACCCATCCAGTGGGAGGTGCCATCGCGGAGCATCTCGATTTTCAGCGGCGAGAGGAAACGATGTGGCTAGTTACCCTGGGATTTCACCAAGAGAAACCCTGGGATTTTGGCTATGATTTCACCAAGAAAAATAGTAGTTGAACATGGCTTACATGGCTTACCTAACAGAAAAACGTGATGACAAACTAACAAACAAACATTGTGATTAAGCCAAGCAAAATGGGGGTTTTATCATCGACCGTCGGATTTGAACCAGGGAACTAAGGGTGAATCAAATGGTAATGTTAATTTAGTACGAACTCATCTTTTGATATAAGTGTGACGATTTACAAACCAGGTGCAAAATATGCGTATATAATTGTATTTACATATATACACATTTTATTTGTACTGGTAGGGTCATTCTGCAAGGTTGGCCACGGAGGTATGAACCGTACGATCCTGACCATTAAACACTCAGGAAATCAGATCTGATGTGAATCAATCATGTTCAGTGGTTCTATTTGGAAATGGCTCAGAGTGAATCCGCAAGGCATTGATGACCAAACAGATTGAACACCAAGAAATGACGAAATCTCTAGCGCCATTTTTTGTTCAATTTGCAGTTTCCCGCTCAGTTGGGTGTTGCATGTTGGCCTCCCATAGGCAATACGACAAGGTCTATGTCTATCGAGGCGTGACTTCTTGCAGTGGTCACAGATGCGGTTTCGCCCGGAAATACGCCACTACTTTGTGTGTTTGCAGTTGTTCTTTGCTGTTGGTGAATGATCACGTGATCCTTTTCTGTTCCTTGCCTGCCAAGGTTATGCTTGCTTTTTTTGTTTCGCATGGTTGCATTGCCTTTGACTGCACACAAACCTACTAAGGAATCGGCACAAAATTTGCCAAAACAATTTTTGGTGAAGTACTGCTGTATGTGATTCACCTAAATGGTTGATGCATTGACTGTGACTCCCAAATTCCAGGTTCGCCTTAAAACAGGGTATTCCCCGAAACCGCCAATGGTTAAGAGGAAAACACGATGATCATCGGTAAAAAACCTACCAATGCATATGAAAATATATGATTATGTATTTTTATAATAATCATATTATTATATAATTATATAAATATATGTATTAAATTATAATTATAGTTAATTATTTACATACAGTTATTTTTAACTATATACATAATAAAATAAATAAATAAATATATATATATACACACATGTATACACATATTTCACGGTGAACCTACCATCTTTGTGTACCTAAAAAGCATCTCAAGCATGCTTCACCGAAAAATCATAGCCAAAGCATCTTCAACTCAAACATACCTACAACATTTTAACCAACATCCTGGTCAGTGATTTTTCAAATTATGATTTACTGGTTGGTGGTTTGGAACATGATTTCTATTTTTCCATACATATATATATATATATATTGGGAATAGATATCCCACCTGACTTTCATATTTTCAGAGGGGTAGGTCAACCACCGGTCAACCACCGGTCGCAGTTTGAGTCGTGACATCCTGGGGTCATCTCCCAATCCTCCAGGACATTTGCTTGCTCCAGCCGCATTACTTGGCGGTGGCCGCGAATCCCGCACCTTGGACCTGCTGTTGGGAATGAATCAGACATGGCTGTGCCTGAAAATGGGGTATGGCCTATATATATATATATATATAGTCAACATGAGTCAACTATTCATTTTCCCGAGAGCGTCTGAGCGCAGGGTTCTTCCAATAGTGGGGGTCTGTAAAACATCTTCTCATCTTCACATCTCATCTTCTTCTCATCTTCACATCTCATCTTCACATCTTCTCATCTTCACATCTTCTCCTCTTCACATCTCATCTTCACATCTTCTCATCTTCACATCTTCTCATCTTCTCACATCTTCTCACATCTTCTCACATCTTCTCATCTTCACATCCTCACATCTTCACATCTTCTCATCTTCAC